TGATATTTTCTGATCGGCATTTGACGTTGGAAAAGTGTTAAAAATAAATAAAAACCCATCAAGATATTATCTAGCTTGAATAACAATACTGTTGAAAATCCAATCATGTTTTCATAAGGATTGAAGTCGGAGTGTAGTGACGCGGAATTAAGTTCCGTTTAATAATTATACTAATCCGAAAAGTTGAGGCACATTTAAAACTCTTAAAAGGTCGAGCGGTCACCTGTAAATTGCGGGTGCTGTCTTATGTCGGGGTGTGATAATAATTTAGACTTCTTTGAGTGATCTTATTTTCAGGGGTATAACATTGTTAGAGTAAGTTATTGACAGGGAAACCAAAGGGTCGAAATTTCTCATGCTGCTTGTTGCAGCGTGGCTCGACCCTCTATTCTTTTCTTTAGTTTCGCTGAGTGTGGGGCGTAGGTGTTTTTCACGGCGATAGCAGTTCTCAATGAGTTATACACAAAAGGGTCTTGTGTTTTACGTTTCTCTGTTTGGAAAACCTTACGGATAGGTTATAGCTAGATAAAACGAAAAACTCGCAAACGAGAGCTAAAGTAAACTACTTACCAGCGTGACACGTTCAGTGGAATGAAACACAATTTTTTTTAAATATTTTTAAACTAGGCAAAATATTTAAAGAGTTTACCCCTTCTAATCGAAACCTATTTCTTCATGTAGCGAGCCTATTAGTTAGAAATTATACGTGTAAGGTACGCTTTTATTGGGATACAAATTAAAAAAAGTAAAATTAGTTCCATTCGTTTATAGATTATTCTATACGTATATTTTGATTGAGCAAAATCCCAAAAGGGGGAATATTATACTTTGACCGTAGCAAATGTCTAGGTTACTATAATATAAGACTTAGGAGTGAATAAACAGCCATCAGGAGTCTGTAAAAAACTTGCATTATGTTGTTGATTTGACTATCGGTAACAACAGCAAAATATTAATAGAAAAAAACAGCCGTTCAACCATAATCGTATCCACTCTAATGATAAAAATCTAATTGTAATCACATTTTGACCTTCACTTAATGCTTTTACCGCAATTAAATATTCTAACCATTTCCAGATTCGTATCGAAGTGTTGATTTGAATGTGATTACAACACTTTCAGTTATAATAATAATTACTGCAAGCCTTTGTAAACTTCTTCGACCCCAATATGTTCTACTTCACATCGACCTCAATGAAGTGGACTTTATTTTAATAATTGTTGTATTCATTCAGAACGTATACAAATGCCAGATGTATGTTTCAGACAAATAAGGTAGTTTGTCAAGTAGTTCAATCTCTGCCGTTTACACTCTGTTGCGTAAAAGAGATTACGCCCAACCTTATTATTTGCAAACAAGATTTATTGGCAGCACAACGATTTATATGCAAAATAACTCGAAGCAAATAAACAAATAGTTTGAAAAAGTATAACGCTGGACTCTTTTATTTCGGCTAAAGCACATAAAACAATTTTTTTAATTTACCTTTATCAAGCCACTATACTTTGAGTAGCCTATCAATTATCATTGTGTACCTATATTAGCGGCTATGACTTAACTATTCTAAAATTGTATTTTGCATGCTTTGGTTGCAATCACTCTGTTTTAGATGTATTTGTTATAATTAAAAAATGTTGCTAGATAATCCACCAAAATTATTATTTTGAGCTAAAGCTAAAAATGTTTAAACATGGAGTTCTTAGGCTCTCTTATCATACCTGTAACTATCAGATTTATCCTTATAAATCACCATTCTTATAACTGTTACATCTATTATTATCTGAATATTATATCCTGGCTAATTTTATGACTTTTTTTATCATCGTATTAGTTATCATCCGATTTTCTTATCAATAAATAAAATCTTATCAGCCGATAAGAATTTCAATAACCAGTTTTAGGTAGTTATGCAAACAATTTTTTTTACAGCTTGCCTAAAAACATTTCCATTAAAGTTGTATACTACCACGGATGAAGGAGATGACCACGAGAAAATAACAAGCGACTTGTGTTCTGTTTAAGGTGATTATTTCATGAAGGCATCTTTTGACAAAAAGAACGGCAACTTCTCTATTAGAATTTCCGCGTTAATGTTTTTTATATTAATAAATTACATTATATTTTTCGTTCTTCTGATTAAACTGTGTCTTAGATATTTTTTGTTATTTGTTAGTTGAATTATTAAGTTAATACATTACGTAAAACATTTTTTCCTTCTAATTTTGTACTTAGGGTTAATTAAACAGTCTCCCCTCTTAAAATTGCACAGATAAATATTTATATTATACATGTTGGTATTACAAAGATAGCATTAACAACGATTTGCGTATAATTATAGGGTGGGTCTTACGGAAAAGTTGTAAGTGTTGAAGTGGAGAAAGAGAACAGGAATTGTAATTTAACACACGTCTTGGTGTCCGAGATTCCTTCGGCCGTGACGTGGCGACGGATAAAGAAAATACGCCGTTATTGACAGACATTTTTCTGCGTGTAACACGAGTGCTATCACATGTATGTTCATTTTGGGAAATAGGCCAACACGGTGCCGTAAACAAATGGTATTTTTTCATAAGCTACATCCGCATACAGTGTACAGCAACACATATTATACACAAGCGCGTTTTGTGTATTGGACGGGAGGATAACGGAAAAAGGTGTATGTGTATATCCGAAAGTGTAGGATGTGCATGTGGCCACGAATTTTTTGCCATACTCTCTTGTTTCCGCAACACAATTCTACATACGAACACGACTGTAAGGATCGCCATTATGTCGGCGGTGCTCTTATTTCAATAATACAGCCACGGGTTTGCCGTTACCTCTTTCTCTTCGCCAGCCATACCTCACACACACTCAAACCGCTCTGTGCGCGCGTGTACTCTCACGGGACCAACAATTCATTTTGCCCACAGTGTATGTGTACCCCATCATGTTTACCCTACCGTATGTGGGTCGTTTTGGAAATTTATAGAACATCAGACACAAATTATGGTACACGTATGAATATTCACACATATGGCAGCATATAATAGATTATTATACAGTCACTGTGTAAATCTCGACCACAACCGGTAATAATTATGTAGTTTGGTCTTTTTCTTATTATTTTATTTTTTTTTAGTGCATTTCAATTCGATCAGAAGGTTAAGTTTTCTACAAATCTAACAATTCTGTGTATTACATCCTGGCGGTCTCCGGCATAATATCTGGACAAAAATTAGATTTACCACATACAACAGAAAAAAACTTAAGACGACGATATTCATACGATTCCATCATGTTGGATCACTTTATTAATATTATATAATATTTCATTCAAAGAGTAATAAACTGATTCATTTATACACAATCCCCTTTCACGTAAACTATATTATGTGGTACACATTTTGTCAAGAAAATAATTTCAAAGTTGTGTTATTTCTTCAAATCCTACGACTTCATTAGTCTTGTTTAACAAGTGGCATGTGGTGTATTAATGGATCTTAACGTATGGTGTATGCCCCGTATAATACACTATAGTAAGTATGCTATGGGAGGGAAAAAACCCGAAGCGAGATGAATAACGGTGTTATGAACCATTAATAATCCAAAAATAATATTATAATCATTTGTCTATGGCGTGAGAGATGATAAAGGAAGAAAAATAAGAAAAAAAATTGTCTGTAAATAAAAAGGATTTTTTTTTTAGGATTATTTCCTTTCTTTATTTCCGACTTAGCCCTTATAGTAATAATTATTACGGCTTCAACAAGTACTTCACGACAAGTTAGGCAGACAAGAAAAAACGCTGGTTATAAATCATTTTGAAGTATTCACCGTAACGGGCGGAAACGTGTCGGCGCATATTTTAATGATACGTTCACATAAAGTTTATGGACAAAATATGTACTTTTAAATATATATTTATATGATATTTAGTGGGGGTTTTCAATATCCACTGAGTGATGAGCTTAACGTTTTTAGTAAAAATATGATTACATGTTTTTTTGTGTTGAGTATATAACTATTATATAGTCTTAAACATTTAATATTAGCAAGAAAGCACACTATGAACTGATATTTAATCTTAATCTATAAGACATTCAGAATTTTTTTAGGATCAAATTTCTGTTATCATAAAATTGTTCAATTTAAATTTGCATAATGAAAATTGTTATTTTTTTTACTATAAAAAAACATTATTGATTATCAGATAAAATGCAATTTATTTTTTTAAAATAAAACAATTATTTTGGCTATTTTTTACTGAGAAGAATGTAAAATTAATTAGCCGTTGATCATAACTGACTAGAACTGATAGAATTATTTTTCTGATATAATTGATTATATTATACTATATTTTTATATTTTTTGTATATTTGAACCGTCTTTTATACAGTAAAAGTAGTAAATAATAAAAAAAAAACACTATTTAAATAATGTAAGCTAAAATCATAACAATAAAGTCGTGTAAATTACAAAGTGTTTTTATAATGTAAATGGAATGTGATACACACAATGTGTGATGTACAATAAGTGTATGGCCTTTTACTGTTATTATACTTGTATTATAGCAGTCACTTTGAAATAATACCTCAATATATATCACACTTTATATGGCCCTATAACGGTTTGGTGCAATCGCGATTATTTTGATATATAGCTCGAATAAATCATTTTAGTACAAGAAGATGTACTTGGTAATAATTATCCCGACTAAATTTGTGTAAGATTAAAGCAGTGATAACTATTCTGATAAATCTCAATAAAACTATAAAATAAAAACAAATTTTGTAAACATACAATGCGGATAACGAGGTTTTTTATTTTAGTTTATTCAAAAGTTAAATTGATTTCAATAGATGAACTCGATTAATACTTTATTAAAATAACCAATATTTGTGTCTTCATTATAAAAGCATTCAACTATTGTGTTGGGTATAATTTTTTTATCTTATACATTTTGATTATTTTGTGCACCAAGTTTAATGATTAATTTGTTATATTAATAATATCTTACCTATCAACACTTCTTATAGAGGAGTAAAGGTAGAATACGCTTGAAGAAAATGTTCGGTAGTCGGATGAACACTTTATTTGGTTGAGTATTTGTCTGGCACACAAATGCGCAAACATCGAGTCCTGAAAAAAAAGATACAAACTCAAATAGGGAAAATAATATTTATTTTATACATTGACAACAATTGTATGAACTATATTATTTAATTTATATTTGTTCTTATCATAGCTCATCTGCAGAGCAACCAACGAGTCCACTCAAGTGTCATAACGATATTTTTCCTTTTTGTAATTAGTTGATTTTATTTTATCTTTAAGGTATTACGAATTATATTTGAGTTTGAAAAAATTAATAAATCTCGACAGATATTCTTGTAAATACTATACTGTAATATAGGCGTTGATAGTTTAATCTCTAGTTTTAAATCGTTTATTATTAAGAAATGTGCATTATTATTTATTACAGAATACAAAATAAACACACTGTTTATTTACATTTTACTGTAATTAATAATGTATCATAATTCGCATTGATGTGTATAAGTAATTACATACATATATGTATTTAAGAAAATAAACGACAGGTTAAAATATTTATTTTAGTCCTATTATAGTTTGCTGTCTGTGTTGGGTGTCACTACGATTAGTTTATAGTTAAATTACACGATTGATTACAACAAAATTAACTTAAATAAATCAAATTAATTAAGCATTTCATCATTTTTTCAAAGTTACCAGTAACCGAGATCACATTGTTGTAATAATTGTTAATCGTTAATCATAGAACTGTAATCACGATAAACGAGTTAATTTATTTTAAGATTCCTAAGGCTTTATGAAAGTGTCAGTGCGCAGATACTTTGATACTATAGCCCTAATGTTTACCAAGTGTGCGATTTGAACGTACGATTTTTTTTTTTGCAAAAAAAAAAATAACATTACGTTGAACGTCGACGTGTCACGTAGCAGACGTTTTGCGGAACGGAAATTATTTATCAAACGGTTCTAGAAATAAGTTGAGCGTGTGGAGAAAAATTGAGCACGCTTCGATACGGTAGTATAAAAAAAAAATGTTAAATCGCACGTAAAACCATCGGGGTATAAAAAAGCAGTATACATTTTCGACGAGGAAAAATACCACAGGGGTGCGACCACGGACCGGCAAGTTATCAAAACGCTTTTCGTCCGTACCTGGTAGGCAAATGGTATGAAATTACACGGCGAGTGACGGGGTGGGCCACCGTGTCGGCGTTAACCGGCGCGTTTGACGTGCAATAATATAAGTACACAATATTAAATAGGCACGCGTGTACCGGCAATGGTCTGTGCTTTATCCAAGTCCGATCCCGGCGAAACGCGATTATTCCCGAAAATACCCGACTGGAACGCGCGCAGAACTCTGCAGTATAGGCATTCAATCCCGGTCAACCCCTTCAGCTTCGCCGGTCGTTATAGGTACCGCTGCCGCCGCCGCCGCTTCTACTGACTCTACCAGGGAAATCCTACAAACTCCCGTACGTTTCCCGCGGGAATGCGAGGCGGCGAAATGACTAGATATATTTTTCCGTTATTTTTTTTTCTTCTCGCTACTCTCCCTTTAATGTATTTCCCCGTCGAACGTAAAATAAAAAAAAAACATAGTAACAAAATACCAGGCGTCGGCGGCCGATACCTATACTATATACTACACGACAAAAAACTACATAACGGTCGACGATCCGATCCCTCGGCTCTTAAATAATGTTTTAGACACGGCCGTGGTCGTCCATCGATAAGCGCTACACACACCGCGGATGAGTTTTTTTTTACGACTTGTAACACACGCACACACAGGTTTTTCACCGGTAAAACGACCGTTGTTACTTTTTTTGCCCCTCCCCCCCCAAAAAAAAAATAAAGAACATGCGTTTCACCGCAGTGTTTACGATAATATATTTTTCCCAATATAGGTTTTTTTGGTTTTTCGCGGATATCGCATTGACTAAACCGATCGACCGACCGAGATGATAATGTTCTACACGCTATATTTCGGTCTTAGTATCTTACAATAGTTTTTTACTTCTGTTCTGGACGGGTGGTGAAGTGTGGTTGAGTAATGCGCGCAGATAAAAATAACTTAAAAACTCCATTGTTTCTCCCGTCCTAAATTTTAAGCTTTAATAACTTTTAAACTGGTTATCGACCAGTGAAAATGTTCAGCAAATTATTTTTAATTTGAAAAGTTAATAAAATGTATACGTTGCTGTTTTAAGACGTTCAAAAGTCGATAAAGCTCTTAAAAATACTAAAAAAGATAAACATTTTAATATTGTATTATAACAAAAAAAAATGTTTTCCAAAAGAAAAATTACAAAATATAAATTATTTTAATAAAAAATGGTGTAGGGCGTCAAAAGAATCATCTGGTATACATATACATATTATTACATATGTATTATTAATATTATCATCGAGGTCAATTAGTTGGTCGTCGAAAGTAAAAACAAAGGAACAAAAGAGAATCCCGACTCAATGGGATGGCAAAAAGAAATTAAACTTTAATTGTTTTTACAAGAACAATTAAAAATATTATCGCGTCGGGCTTCGATTATTTTTCGGGAAGCATTAAATAGCCAGACCGTCTGGGCTGAAAATGAACGACCGTTTAAATTGTATTATTTAACTAGATAATAATTAAAACAAATAGGAAAAATTAATTGCATTTATATAATATTTTATGTCGGTCTCGAGTTAAAACAATAACGTGTATTATTCCAAGCGGTTGTCGTCATTCAAAAAATATATCCAACCGCTTTACGGAGCGCTAAGTCTCTTTACAGCTGGGGTGAATATTGTTATTGTTATTAAAGTTTGATACTCGTTATTCACTTAGCCACGGCACAACTCGATAGCAATTATTACAATAGGTGTGAGTTAACGCTTTGCCGATATTACAACCGCGCGATAAGGGTTGCACGACAGTCGCTATTTGGTTCGCGGTATTCGGTTTTCCTAGTTATTTGCACACATTTTCACTATTCTGTCGTGGCGAAAGGGATATTAATAATATTAACGCAAATAATCATCCATTGGTCGGATTTCACGTCATTAAATTAATTAAACCACACACTGAACGCAATATCAAGCACTTGTTTTTAATAGTAAAATTCAAGAATGTATTCCCTCCAAAAATTTCATTTTTCCTCTAAATATAAAACATACATATGTTTTGTCGTACGCCGGTAGGATAGTGTAATAATTATGAATTGTCTTATTATTTGAATATATTTTTACCAATAATTGACTGACAATAATATCACTATATAATATATAATTCTAAGCAATAAGGCGACGTATTTTATATTTGCCATGAAAATACTAAAATACAAAATATTTTCTAGTTTGTGCCGCGTATATACGAGATTGGTAATTGTCACTTGTACCATTGTACAAGTATACTTGTATACCATCACATGTGAAACCGTTTTAAGCATTAGTCCAACTATGCAAGAGAACAGAGACCGATTCTATTTGGTGGCAAGTATGTAGTTCGACGACTCCGCGGTTCTACTCGAGACAACACTTTCATCGTAAGATCGTTTGAGGATAGTGCTTACCGCATAGTCGAGAAGAGTTGTTGTGAACCCTTAATGTTTCATATAAGTGGTCCATGACAGCGAGTGCGGGTGGCAAGTACTTACTAACGCGGTTAACAGTAGTCGGTAAACGAAGCGTTTATGAGTAAAATGTCAAAATGTCGATGGAATGGAATTAATGTGAAAACCCTGCTAAAAATCATTCTTTATTATCGTTTATCGTTGGCATAGGTACATAATGTATGATGTATGTCTATTAATAATATGGCTGATTACGGTTTGGTTACACGGACACTCTATGATGACGGTTGGAAAGTCCGGATATGCGACGCGTTGTTGCCGTAGGAAATTGCCTCGTTTTTATAATGCAAATCGGAAGCGAGCAAAAATATATTTCCCCACCTGCGGTGTAGTTCACGGTTAGGCAGGTTAGGAAGTGATGTAAAATAGAGCATACAGGGTGAGGGTGTTATCGCTTGGGGCATTTTTTTTTCCGGTGCCCCGTCAATTGACCACTCCATCAAAACCTATCTATAGAGAGGGGATCTAAAACGCAAGCATAAAAATGTCATTTACACCGCGTTTTGCGTACACAATTTACTGACCAACACCGTTCGTTGTCGGTTTTATTTTATTATATATATATATATATATATATAAAAAAAATGAAAAATATAAAAATGTTTTGTCGTTTTTTTTTTTATGCAAAATCCTATTTTGATGAATACCGATATCGATTTATTGTTCAAAGAGCCAGGGGTTATATTCGAAAGGTCCGGATTGAGGGAGGGTCAATGGCAATGGTCAGGTTAGGTTTGAAGTTTGAGTTAGAATTTGTTTTAAATAATATTACACATATTTTTTAATGTTAATGTGGTAATTCTACATAAGTAATAATTGTCGGCACGGATGGATTAACATAATTTTACATGCGTTATTTTTTCAACAACTCATTTTCTTGTACGTTTAACAAATAATGCGTAATTCTAAATGTTTAACTGTAAAATATGATAAATGTAACACATTAGAACAACAGAGTCACCGAGTTGTTAAAAGTGGAAGTAAGAGGTAAAAAGGAAAACGTGGAAAGGTATGATTGAATGGAAGCGCAGAGGTATTAATTTTGATTTTTAGAGCGTTAGGCTTATAAAAATGAGCAGTACTGTAAGTATATTCGTCGCAAAAAAACAAATCCTTCCGAACAAAAAAAACGGGTGTGTTGTCAATTTAAAATATAGTTAACGAACTTTGAATTTCTAACAAACACACAAATTCGCAAACGAATGAATATTATATTAAGTTAAATGTTAAAACTGCAATATTATTGAAAATGTACTCATGTTAATTAATATGTCATTCCTTTTTCATTTGTCAGCTTAAATATACTGCTAATTTCACAACGTTTAATTTCATATAGAAGTTGCTAACGGTAATTCCGTCCAAATGAATTACTCAGAAACGAGCATCCCTTGAGTCACATTTTTGTACAAAATAGCAAAGCAAATACGCTGTAAGAATAAGACATTCAGAATTTCCATTAGAAATGTT